TCATATTTTCATGTTATTATGCCTCTTGAAAGGACCTTGATTTGTGGATCCATATATATACTGTTAAAATCTGGTAGAGGTTCTATGTATTTGATTGTGTTACTGCATACAGCAAACTATATGTGTTTTTACCAAATCTCTAGGAGTTGGGACTAGATGATGTAGCACTGTAATAGCATACACACTGCTTCTGCTAGAGAAGAGGTACAGCTCATGTAAAAAGCGAGGTCACTTTCACACAATCAGAACAGTTTAAGGTCCATATAAACTGGAGGTAGAATCTGACCAGATTTTAGCACTCCAGTTGTCCGTTTGCCTGACGTAAACTCGCATTACTCCCCAGCATCGAAGCTGTACCAAAGTACAAATACAGATTGCAGACAATATTAACAGGCGCTGTATAAGTAGGGCAGACCTGGTAACATTTTTCTGTTAATTTCGACATACTGTATGTGCAAAGGTGTGTTTCACCTTTTCATATATACATTCAAGAATTTATGTTGTAATTTAAATAAAATAATAGTCTGCCATGAATAACTGGACAGTGTGGAGGAGAGACTCTTGTTCAGGCATCTTATTAGGATTCATTATCATGTAATTACAGTCATGCATTTTGAGAAATTCAATCTTGTTAGATATGGAAGCTGCACTTCACACATGAATTATTTCATATACTGTACCTTGGCATGTATTATTAAATTAATTAATTAAATTATTTGCATAAAATGTTGGTCCTTTTCCTTATACAGAACTGCATAGTAGCACATACAATATGATTTGCTTGGACTATATTTCAGTATCTCTTAATTAAACTTAATTAGTTGGAAGTTTACCAAGCGATACAGATGTGAAATTAAAAATTCGGTGTAGATGACATTAGAGGTTAATGATGTAAACCTTAATATAAGGTTTGGCTGTGAAAATATGTCAGTCCTCCACCCATAAGAAAGAAAAAAGGATTCATAATGAACACACCCTAAAGGAAAAAAAAATATTTCCAAAGTCAAAACAAGGAACTTTATTTCCATTTAAGGGGCCTTCAGTTGTGGTGACATTAATAACACACAGACATGCAGTCAAAGTCCACACAGTGTCCTCCAAACATATTGTGAATGCAAAGCCAAAAGAGTTATTTTTGCTTCATGCAATTTGAATTTGCGATCATGAGAATTATTATGAATCTTATTCCTTATTCCTGAAGACAGGGGACGAGTTGCCAGTAATGAGCTTTTTAAGTTGTTAGGAGCTGAGTTACCAAGGAAGACCTGCAGACACTGCAGCCTCTCCGCACTGGGATTGTCCACCCCTGGGATCAGTGCTAGATGACACCTACTGAGGTGCTGTACTGAGCTCTCAAAGTGCTGTATTCAGACGTTCACAGAAAACGCTTTCCAGTCATTGACAATGCTCTTTAATTTGGCAGCTGCTGTTGTTGTTTGGTTTAGAGGATTGATCAATGATGTCACTCTTTGATCATCTTACAGTATCTTCTTTAATTTGGGGCAGAGCGGTGGCTCTGTGGTTAAGGATCTGCGCCTGTGACTGGAAGGTTGCCGGTTCAAATCCCGCGGCCGGCAGAGGAATCCTACTCCGTTGGGCCCCTGAGCAAGGCCCTTAACCCTAACTGCTCCAGGGGCACCGTACAATGGCTGACCCTGCGCTCTGACCCCAAGCTTCTCTCCCTGTCTCTGTGTCTGTGTCTCCATGGAGAAAAGCTGGGGTATGCGAAAAGACGCATTCCTAATGCAAGAAATTGTATAGGGCTAATAAAGAAACATTATTATTATTAATTTGGACAGAGAGGTTCCAGGTTGTTGCCAAGTGGGATGTTCTGTAGATATTCAGAGAAAGTAGAAAACACTGCTTTCCCTGTGTGTGCAGAGGAATACTGGTGTGTTTGTGTGTATGCTGAGTCTGACCGCGCACGCACTGTACTTAAGGGGACGTGGGAAGAAGCCGAACACACAAAGTGATTATTTGGGTTCCCTCACTGCTCTACTGTGTGTCTTTTGCAGACAGACTGGGATACGGGGATGACACCTTCTTTTAATTTCTTTTACAGATGTCAATGTTTGCTTTTTTCATGATCATCCTTACTTCTAGTCCTAGGTGTGCAGTAGGTGAGTTGTTGGTTTTGCCAACTGCAATATGCACTTTGTGTGCAAAAGCTAAGCGGAACATCATTGTTCCCTGTGTGTCAGCTGGGATTCCTTGGAAAGTGAAAAGTGGGACTCGTGCTTCCAGAATAATGAAGAATTATACTTGCATTACTGACTAGGGTTTTCGGGGTGATCATGCACAGCTAGATGGTCACATTCCAATAAGCTCCTTTTTTGCCCTCCCCATATATCCATAATTTTTCTGTATATGCTGTGGAATCCTCTGTGTGTGAATCCCGAGGGTCTAAGTGATGATTAGGAAGGAGACAGCCTCTTCCCAAGGTTCGCAGGTCGGGAAACGTGTTAACACAGACGTCCATTCGGGGGGAACTGCTGCCTGAGACTGAGCAAGCTTCCTCTTCCCGAGCATCTCTGTCCTCAGCTTGATGTTGGCTGAGGCTCTGGGGCCGATCAATGAGGCAATTCATGAGAAGAGCACAGTCCTTCATTCTCTCAGACAGGGCTTCGCTGCCTGGGTCAATTGGGATGAAAGCAGAACCATATCAGGGAAAAATGAAGACGTTAATTACTGTCTCCAGAGAACCGACAAATTCCAGGATAAGTGACTTGGAGTACAGTTCGGGCTGCATTATTCTACTGGTTAGCCTACCTGGAGGGTTTAGAATGAGAAAATTCTAACTAGTATTTCCAGAAGATGCTCTCTCTCTGGTTCACCAGACTCTCCTCCTTTCTGCCATCTCCTGTCGAGATTAACAGAGATCAACAGACTGGTCATAGACAAACAGGTTGTGAATCTGCTTTGTGCTAAAAAGCTCTAGTTTCTTTTTGTGCTTTGTTTTGAAAATCCACTGGGTTCAAAATCCAACTAAAGTTGATTGAGAAATAAATTGATTGCCTCTTATGTGACCTTGTAAACATGATTCTAGAAAAAAGCATTCCGACACAGTAAGTCTTAAAAACAGATGTGTGGTGAGCGTTCTGGCGCACTATGGCTGCCGTCACATCATCCAGGTGGGGCTGCACATTGGTGGTGGTGGAGGGGATCCCCATTACCTGTAAAGCGCTTTGAGTGGTGTCCATAAAAGCACTATATAAGTGTAAGCAATTATTATAATAATAATTATTATTATCTTTTCAAAAAGCAGTTGAAGAATTCAAGGCAGCCTGTTAAAAATAATATAAATTAAAAGAGGCAAAGTGACCAAGTTTGCATGGTAGGCTTATGTTATATATGGTGTTTATGACAAAAGGCGGACAGATTTTTGGGGTTACAAATTAAGGTAAACACAGTAACCTAGCCATTTTTAAAACATGGATTCTCATTCTAACTTCTCAAATGGGAAGTATTTTGCTGGGGATGTAGGAGACAACTCATGATTTCATTATAGAGTCTTGCATTCTGAGTTGTCCTCGATGTCTAACAAAGAAAACATGCTCCCATTTTTCCTGACAAGATTCTTAATAGGGTATCAACAATATTATTATTATTATTATTATTAACAATATCATTTTTTCAGGATTTATGAGATTACTTTTTTCTTCAGCAGTGCATTTAATTCCTTCTTTTAATATTTCTGTTTTCAGATATTTCTGATGACAGAAACGTTTGACGCTTGGATATAATTTTCCCTTAAAGGCTCTCATTCTTACTTAGAGAGCACTGGATCTGTGTCAGGCCCACACAATTCTTAAAAGCTATGCACGTAGCTGATGAGGTGGTGTAGCATAGCTGTTTTATGGCCTTGCTAATTACCAAGAGAAACCCTCTCATCAGCAGCATCCCTGGCTTTTGCATTAAAAACAGCCTAAAGGAGTCAACGTCCTGCACACCCTGGTCAATTAAATTGAATAATGCTTAGGGACTTGGAAGGGCTAATGAAATGCACTTCACTGCATTTGAACATCGGCTTAGACACGAGATGAGTGGGGAGAATAGATCCGTTTATTTTGTGAAAAACAGATGGTCTCAGCACGTTCTTTTGAATGTTTTGGGGCTGCGTCCTTTCTACTGGTTTGCATAGGCCTTGAGCAGGCACTACATTTGCATGCGCTGCTCATTCGAATGAGTAAGCTGTGCGCATGGAAGAAACGCGCAGCCCTGTCTCTTAACTTTGTTGGGGCTGAACTTTCTGGATGAGCAGCCAATGACATAAGACCTGTAGAAACGGGACACAAAAGTAGGAAGCCTTAAAACTCGGCACATCCTGTTATTTTTGTGAGTTCCAGCCTGGACTGACTATGGCGAAGCTGCTACCTCTACGGAACACTATGAAAGTTAGTCTTACTTTTATTAGCTTTTCTTTTTACAATGTGTCATCCCTTACAAGATGAAAAGGTGTTTTTTTTGCTAAGATAAAGCAGTTAGAATGGGTTGTTTGAATAACAAAAAGGTCCCATTAAACTCCGGCTTACTGTGTATGTCTGATGGTCTGTTGTTTGAGGTGGTCACACTGCCTTTTTGAACCTGAAGAGGGCCTTCATTGTGGCTGCTAAGGATGTGCTGGGAGGTATAATAGGACTTCTGACAGAGGCTTCAAACAAGATGGATTTGGAAATATCAGACAAAGAAAGTTAGAGTATTGGTGCTCTACGTTTTCTGTTGGGTAGACTTAATATGTACATCAGAAAAATGCAACCCAGGCTAATTATATTTTTATATGGAAATGAATGAAAGATGCCTTATCTTGACTTAGAATAAATTTGCTTGTTTCCTTTGCTTTGTTAACATTTGGCTTCCTTCAACAGTGCATTGAAGGGAAAGTCTGCTTCCAGATTACACTGTAGCTGTGTCTTAGAACTATATTCTGCAGTCTTCTTCTATTTCAGAGTTAATAATTTCTACACATAAAATGAACTTATCCCCCTTTTCCTTCTCTTCAGACATTTGATGCCAATGACCTTTACCAGGGTCAGAACTTCAGCAAAGTCTTGAATTCTCTGGTTGCGCTAAATAAAGTAACAGCAGGTAAGTAGGCTCAGTTTTTGAATGCTGGTGATCAGTTACTCTTTGTCCCTGCTCATGGTTTTCCTGCATAGAATTACTGCTTTCTAATTGTAATCACAGTAGCAGGTAGGGTGAAGGCTTTTTGAAATGGGAGGCAAAATACAGTGGAGAATTTAAACCTGAAATGCATGCATGTATTTAATAAATACATATCGTTCAATATGCATTTTATATTTAATGTATACTACCTTTCTGGACACACGTGCATAAAATGCAACGAATCTATGTTGCAAAACACATGGGAATGAATGTGGATGTAACTTGTATAATTAGTAGAATATAATTAATTTATTGGTGTTTCATGCAGAATAGCTTTCATTGAGAAGGCCTGTAGGTGCAAAGCACAGGACGCTGCAGTGCTGATGGCATTGCCAGTGTCTTTATTTCCTCACCTTTCAACTCTTCAGACTTGTCTGAACTGACTCTGATTTGGGCGACTGCCGGCGGTCATTAACTTGGTCAAATAATAATCAGAAGGCGCAGCAAAGGAGCTGTTGTCAAGGCGTTCCTCTAAGGGAGCTGAGCATGACATCTTTCTTGTTGCTGTGAGCGGGCCGGGTGAAGGGCTGTCCTGTGAACGGCTTTCTTGTCGTCCTGTAGACATCGGTGTGGGAAGTGACTCTGTATGTGCTCGTCACTCCTCCTCCCACCGGATCAAGTCCTTCGATTCCCTGGGTTCCCAGTCCTCCCTCAGCAGATCCTCCAAGCTTCTGCAGAACCAGTATCGGAGCTTGGTAAGTCCCAGCGGCGATGAAAATAAAACGGCGAGATGGTGGCCGGTGCTTCAGTCTGAGCATTTGGGACTGCAGCTTGTGAGCTGCTGTTCCCTTGTGTCCTCTTCCGCGCCCGCCGTCGATTTTCCTCCCAAGTGTCCTCTTTCTTTCGGCCCTCAGGACATGACGGACAACAGCAACCACCAAGTGGTGGTGAAAGCACGCTTCAACTTCCAGCAGACCAATGAGGATGAGCTTTCCTTCACTAAAGGAGATCTCATCCATGTCACCAGGGTGGAGGAGGGAGGCTGGTGGGAGGGCACCTTCAATGGAAAAACAGGCTGGTTTCCCAGCAACTATGTCCGGGAAATCAAAGGCAACGGTATGTGCCCCTGGCAGACTTTTGTGCTGCTTTTACCTTTTTTTTTTTGCCAGATAAATATTTTCCAGTAAAGGATGTAGCAGCAAAGGAAGAGGAATGCATATTGTGAGGTTATGATTTTGGTAAAAGGGTCAATTTCTACATAGGAACAGGTAAAGGTTATTCCATGCTGAAAGGGAAAGAGCGTTTCGGCTGTGGAGCGTTCTTAAGGTGTCCTTAGGTGTCTGCACCTGCACCAATGTTGTGTCTCTTTTCTTTTCCTTACCACACGGAATAAACCTGTAGGTGTTCCTTTGCAGCCTACGCATGTTTCCACAGCTACCTACTTGATATTTCTACATATACCACTGAGCCCCCACTAATCACCTGCCCAGCCTGCCTGTGTCGGCAAAAGATATATGAATGGTCCAGAGTTAAAAGTGAAAGGACAACAGAGTGCCATTCAAAAGCCTCTGTACTCTGCTGACCTCTGTCAATCTCCTGTCTGTCTTGTGGCCATCACATTGGCTTGACAGTATTTTACAAAAGCTTGCAATGGAGTTAGTTTTTCAAAAAATAAATCCAACATAAAGTCCAACAGCTCAAAAGACATAAGACATAAGGTAGGGTCATCATGTACACAGATGAAAAAATATGAAGCTCTCATAATGCAGGCCAAGACTTCACTACCTTTTCTGAGTAAAATATATCTCAAGGCTTTGTGCTGATTCTATAACTAAATTTAAATTTTCCTTGGAGAGTCAGCATGATGAGAAAAACCCTGCAGTGTAAATTGCAAGACATTATCACAGTCCTACATTTATAGCCTCTTTAAAAGCAGTAAATTGAACTGCCTCGACCACATCAGACAAAAATGCCAAAGAAAAGCCTGTAAAACATATTTGAAAATTGCTCAGAGGAGACACATGCTGCTGTTTCACAGTGTGCCTTTATGACATCTTATTTAAGGGAACGTGTACTGTGCGAACTGGATGTTATTGGGCAGGGTGAGGGAGCAGGAAACAATAACAGAAATTAATTCATCTGGTTAATCTTTCTTGTTTCATATGATTGTTTTGTGAACCATAGAAGAGTGCTGTGTCAATCTGCTTTTTGGGTTTTCATCTTTTTTGTGAACCAATACCCATTATCCCCACAATCCTGGGCTGGAGTAGTTGATACAAGCAGTAACAGGAGTGATCCTGACAAATTTCTGCTGATTTAGAGGGTCAGACAATGAGGTTTTTTTCCCTGCACAAGTTTGCTACCGTACATACAGTATGATATGCTTGTGCTGTGATTATCAATTTGTCTTTTAGCTCTATTTGGAATTTCTGAGTAGTTTTTTTTGAATTGGTGTTTTATTATGTCAAACGTCCAGTCATTCCTCTCCTTTAAAAAATGGTAATTTGAAATTAAATGTAAATGTAAATGTTTTTTGCTATATATTTTAAATTTGATAAAAAACAGGATGTTTGTATGTATGTGTAATATAAATAAACTAAGGGTGAGATTAAGAAGTCATTTTAAAAATCATGTGTTGGTAATATTTTTCATTTAGAAAAATTAAAATAAATTGTCTTCAGTTTGTCTGTTATCTTTACTAATATACGTATGTTGCCTTGAATTATCAAGGTTCTGCTGACATAGTTATTTAAACCTCCTTTACATTAACTCCTACATTTTGTCAGGCCTATTTCCTTTTGTGTAAATGACTGTTTGCACTGATTTTAAAATACAAGCTTTGTATAATGAGGAATTTTTAGATAGAGGTATGAATTTGCCTGACCTGATCATTTGTGTTACATCATGTGGATGTTAAAATTGGGGGAATTTAAGGAGGAAAGGTTGTTCAGTGCATGATGTCAGATTCCTGTGACTAGCAAGTCAGGAAGGAAAGTAGTTAACAAAGACAGGATGTATTCATTTCTGTAGATAGAGCATCCTTTTCCAAACAAGGCTTGAGCCCGTCCATTGTTTATTGGCCCTGTTTTAAGTTACTGAATTTAACATTTTTGGGATGGAAGAAATAAAGTGAAACACCAGTTTATTGTAGGTAGTAATGAGAAAGCCATATGTGAGTGCATCTAGGATTTTAAAATTCAAACTAGTGACCAAGCCCTTAGTCAACTACATTCTAGAAAACCTTTCATCTATTGTCATTGGCATTATGTAATATTAATACTGCTGAGCCCAGAAATTAACACATCTGAAATGTCTCAAGTACAGTATATGAATGACTTTGCTGTGGAATGTTTTGATGGCTTAACGTCTACTGTTTTCATTTTGATTTTCCGTCTTCAACCCTTCTGTGTCAGGTACTTCAGGATACACTTGGGCATAACTAAAGGCACATCAGCCAGAAGGGTCAAATGTAATAGTAATTTTTCTTCTTGAACTGACTTGGGGCAGAAGCTAAGCAAAGGGGATGGCCACTGCTCATGCTAAGTATGCCTCACATTTGCACTGCAGGCCAGCCTGCAGAATAAGAGCAAAGCCTTCTGTTAATATGAATTATAATAAAATCTGGTTGGACTCCAGTTTGGGCAAGTTCTGCTTGGTGACGTTAAACACCTACTCAGAATGTGCTCCTATATATACATTAATTTGCACCATCCCTGTTCTACAAGAACATAAAGGCAAATGGGAATCTCTGTTTGGGTTTCTAGCCAGTAATACACAGATACCTGTAGATGCTTTTTATGTTGAGCATTTAATGAAAAAATAGCATAGCATAGAATTGCTTACGGCTAGCAAAACTCATTATAAAAATCAACTGCTCGTCTCCCTTCCTCCCATAGAAAAGCCGGTTTCTCCAAAATCCGGAACGCTGAAAAGCCCTCCAAAAGGCTTCGATACCTCTGCGATTAGCAAGACGTATTACAATTTGGTGAGTACCTGATTTTTGGATTATATGACACGTAGCTGGTGAGCTCTCGAGCTGCTGTTGAGTTGAATGCATTCCAGCGGAAGTGATGTGCATTATTTTAAGGAATCCAGTAGTGGGAAAGGTTTTCAGTTCTGTCCGCTGCTGTAGTTCTGAAATTAAAGGGTGCTGGAGGGAGCGCTGGTAGGAGAGCATGAAGCCCATTCCATGTGGTCTTTTCCTCCGGGAGTTTCAAGTGTATGTGGAGGTCATGCTCCGCCACTGCTGATTAGATTTCCCAGCTTGACAGTCTGCCTGGGACACAATGAGGATGATTTTTTTTTTCTTCTTGAGGCTGACCCCCAAAAAATACCCTGCCAAATTTCTTCTGTTGTGAACTGTGGGGTTTCCAACATCTCAGAGAGATCAGCTCTGTCAGATGCTATGTGTATAACTGCGCAGGAAAAAGCTTTGGCCTGGGTGCGACCTCTCGCAGGTGACATGACATGGCACGTTAACATTATCCCCCCACCTAGCTGCCTCACAGCTGCGTTATTCTACAAGCTTGTGAGCTAACCAGCTGTCTGATTATTGTAACTTAACTATATTATGCTAAACAAGACTGTGTTTGATCACAAGAACTACTTTGAATAAATACAGTAGTATTCATCAAAGATGTGGGCTACCCATGATTCCACTCAAGGAAGAGCTTTGTGCTTGAAACACATTACTATTTGCTCTTTTCTGTGTCCATCAAGCTATCATTGTATTCTTTTTGCTATCGATGTGTTATTCATTATTTTAGGTTCCTTGAAGTGATAAGAATTGTTGTTTTCACTTTGAAGATTAAGTGGCTTCTGCTCCCTTTATTATTCTTCACAAATTATATTTCTCACCAACTATCACGAGCAATGAATGGACACAGTTTTTGCTAGAGAGTTTTTACCAACATTACCGGCTGTGAGCTACCAGACATCCAGGATGTCTACTCAGCTAGATGTCTTAAGAAGTCCAGGACCCCAGTCATCCAAATCACAAACTGTTTTCTCTCTTACCGTCCGGTAAACGGTACTGAAGCATTTGAAGACTAACAGATTACGGAACAGCTTCTACCTCCAGGCAAGACTGCTAAATAGCCAAGCTGCAGTTTGTTCAGCAAATCACCCGTAACCGTAAACATACAGTTTTCATTGTATTCGGCATACTGCACCACTTGGACATAATGTATTGCATACAACGTACATACTGTATTGTTGTGCATTTGATAAATAAACTTTGATTTGAGTCATCCTGTGCTGTATTATTACGCAAGAATATTTCACTATGGATTCTTGTGTACATATTGTTGGTATTCACACGTTTGTGTGGCCAGGCAGCACCACTTTGTGGCTGTATACAACTGTGGAAAACCATGAAAAATATATAATTTATTAAAAGAAAACATTTTTTCCTAGAAACAGCTCTGATTGCTAGACTAGAAAACATATTCACACAGGTTTTGCTTCAGTTCGTTAGGCTTGAAACAATGTATTAAGATGCTAGCCATTCACACTTTATGTTCCTTTGGAAGTGGCCTGGAGTTCATTTTCTGGGTTCACTTCCTCATTTGTAGGGAACTCGCTTCACTTGTGTTCACACAGCAGTAATCAAGGAAGAAGCTTTTTTTGACCTTTTAAACTCAGTGTTTATCGTGTTAGTAACATTAGTCACACTGTCAAATCCTTAGGACCTCTTTATTTTAGATTTCATTTGGTGAATCTTTTTTTATCACCCTGCATTGTTCACTGCTTTTAATAAACCGTTTCTCTTTTGGCCCCTGACGCCTTTGTTTTTTGTGTGTTTTTCAAGCTCCATCTGCATGACCGAATTTCTAAAAGGACTGCTCTCTCCTGTCTTACCTATTTCATTCTCCTGGGTGTTGTTATCCACCGCATTCTCTGGAATAACAAGAAAGTGTTTTTTCCTCAACTGTTAAATAATTCATTTCCTGTATGCAGATGAACCAGTACCTTTGTTTGGCCAGACAAACTGCACAACAAACAACACCTCTTCTAGTGGTCCAGTTTGGCTCTATTTGATTTGTTTGACTATCCGGCTTTGATATTTACATTGATTTCCATATAAACTGAAACAGACTATGTAAATGACAGATGCCTTAAGACGCCGTATAGCACTGGGCCAGTCAAATGGATTCAGTTTTGGTTTGGAATGATACATCAGTTTCATATTTTCTAGCCTTTCCTTTCTACAAGTATTGAAAAATACCAATCAATTAATTTAGTTGTGTAAAATAAAGGAGATCACTTACAAAAATGTATAGAAAACAATATTCAAATGTGTCTGCATTCGTCATGGCAAGGGTGAGACATGTGCCCATTCATTTGCAAGAGAATTATTTTAATTTTATTTTTATACTTTGTGTTTCTTGAGATGCATTTGCAGAAATAACACCTCTTTCTAAGGACACATCGTCTTCGCCAGAGGTTACAATCAAAAGAGCAAACTTACCTTAATTCTTTTAGTTGACAGTACTAACATCATCATTTGTATTTATTTAATACATATTACAATGAAAAAAGTAATCTCATAGCAGTATTTAATATTAATTGCCTACTCTTTATCATTTTACTCATTCAGTTAAAATCAAATCGTAAAATATATGTAAAATCCTTCCATACCATAAAGATTGACCAAAAAAACTTAAGAGCTTTTTTGCCATCTATTTCTAGGCTTTCTTGCGCAGAAGAAAAAGTTAAAAATGAGGAGATTTATAGGTAGAAATTAGTCTTTTAATTAATCATAGATTAATTCATGGAAATTAATTCCACCAGCCATTTATTTAAAAATGTTGAAAATTGGTTTTAGTAACAACAACAAGCAGTTTAAGAAGTAAACATTTGAACACTAGAATTAAAACCTTTTGACCCCTAAGGGGTGTTAAAATGGAACCTGAAGCAGTCGCAGCTCTGAGATCAGATGTCTGATCAGTCGGTGTAGATCACTTTACACCCTTGGAACGTAGTCCTTAACTTGGCGGTGTTTTCACCAGGGTGGATCATCCTGTTTGCAGGCACTTAATTTCCCCTGTGTTGCTTTTTTTGTCCACCATATAAAACAGGAGTGTGGCCTGTTTGGTACCAGGTTACGTGCTTGTAATGTCCCAGTGCAGAAGCAGCTGTATGTAGGCAAGTGTCTTCTGTGTCTCAGGAAATCTGCTGAATCTTTATGTGACCACTTTGTCAGAGGTTGTTCCAAGCCCTCTGTCCTTAAGAGGCTTCACAGCTTTCCAATACTAGGGAAAGGGTGATGAGGCCTCCTGAAAGTGGCTGTTTCTGTGTTAAGCTACTTAACAGGTGTTAAGTAGGTGCATTATATGCCAAATGTGAGTAGACTGCCCCCATGAGACAATACAAGCCCCGAAGGAGCTGATGATGAATGTTATATTAATCATGTGGGAAGGAAGGTGTGAATGTTTGGTTTGGAGCTTCAACAGTCAGAATTCAGCACTTCCACACAGCTGACAGTATGGACACTACAGCATAACCTGCACATGTGTTAAAGGAAAAGTAAAATGGTTTCTCTATTTTGTTGAAGTCTAATTTCCTTTATGTTACAAACTGAATACTTCTTTTATTTCAACCTGCGTCTGTTTACCCTCTTGGGAACAGAACCTGTGCTGTGTTTCTAGCAATGGAGTAGAAAATGAAAGGATTCAATTTGTAAGTAAGGGAAACAAGATATTTCAACCCCTAGGCATTACACAGGCCTAAAACCTATTAAACACAAATGCATTCAAATAAGCTCATTCACAGACTCTTACTTCATCTTACTGCTGATTTCAGGCCTGTGTTTCATAAGATCTGACAAAAAATTGTTGGTTTTTGGTGTTATAGTAATTTTGCTGTCAGTTTTTACTGAATGACTGAAAGGAGAAGCACAGTATCTTTAATATAGTTGGATCTGAGCTTTATTCAGGCTCACAAAATAGTGAGCTGCGTTACAGTGCTTTGATTTTCTTGGAAAGTGCTCATAAATAAAATTATTATTATATTAGAAATGAAGGCTGAACCTTCTCTTATTTGTGATGGGCCTGCTCCACAGCACTTCAGCGTAAATGGTGCAGTGAACTGTGACAAAGACACCACAGGAGGCATTAATGGTTATTCAGTCACAAGGTTGTAGTGTTCTTTGGAATTGCTGGTTACTGAACACTTAATTTGCCACATACTGACCGACCATAAAGAGTGCAGTGAGCTGGCTTCGACACTTTCTCAGAACACTTCCACAAGGTAAATGATCACTGAACTAGCTTTCACGCATATATGGAATGAACACTGCAGGATTCCTCCTTATACTACTTGTACTTTAGTAGTATGTTTTAATTGGTTCTTTTCTGACAACATTTATCTAGAACCTTCACAAGCAGTCAAGTCCCTTTAAAAATAAAATGCTCTGTATTTGAATTTTAGTTGGAGCACAGCGAATGCTGACGTTCCAGTTTCACAAAGGGAAAGCATGTTGGATTTATAGTGGCTGCACTGTGGATGTCAGTGAAGGCCTCCATTACTCCAGGAAGAAGGAGAAGAATTTAACACTGGAACTCTAGTTAGACAAATGTGGAATAATATCTGCCACTTTTGACGTCTCTCCATTAGATGCGTACCCAGATGCCACTGATCTAGGCCATTATTTAGCTCCATGCTGGTAATGTTGCCTAAATATTGTCACAAAAGGGTTTGACGTAATGCATGTAAATAAAGAGCTTAACAGTCGAGAACTGATGGCCTCATTCTGTCAGGCAGCATTTTTGTTTCTTATTTAGTTGTTATGGTTGACTGAAGAAAAAACAGGAAAGTGTCTTACTGCAAATCTATACTGCTCAAAGCTTTATACGTGCTAATGGATACAGGAGAATTCATCACTGTCGTTTCCTGTTTGGTTTGCTGCCTCCTGTCATGGAGGTCTTTAAAATCCAAAACATTAGACATCGGTTGTGATTTTCAAAAGATTTAAATTGAAAGGGTAATGAAGCTCATGTAATTTTTTAAATAGAAAATGCTTCTCTTAACCTGGAACCTTAAACGCTTCTGAGTCTTCTTGTCTAGAGTTTGTGGTGAAACCTCCTTTCACCCCAATTCACCCTGAATCACAAGTACTGCTTGGTATGATGTTTAAAAAAACAGCAATATGATGCTCTTCTTAAGTACAGTATAGTTTAATATTCACTACACTACCTTTATAGCTAAATAACATGGTATGAAATGAATGGCGACAACGTTTCACAATTAAATTTTCCTCTTCTGCAGGTGCTGCAGAACATTCTAGAAACGGAAACAGAGTATGCGAAGGAGCTCCAGAATCTTCTATCAAATTACCTGCGCTCCTTACAGAGCACGGAGAAGTAAGCTCTCACTGAAGCACAGTAGACAGTGCCTGGACACATTGTGGCCATAATCCATTTGACCCCTCAGGGCCCTGGTTGTGGCTTCAAAGGCTCTCCATCCATTCAGCCTTTTTGGTATTGTTGGTACAGGAGAATATATTGTTCAAGCTCGTTTCAAAGATTCCTAGATGTCGGTTAGAATTTTGCCACTGTCAATAATGAGCTACGTGGCCGTGGAGAATCTCACCCGCATGACTGTCTTCTCTGCTGTGGCATGATTGCAGCTGCCATGAACAGGGTTAAGCTATGGCTTTCCTCCTTTCTGGTGCATCTCATTGGTTTCCAAGTGCTTTTGCAGCTCTCCCTTGGGAAGATGTCCAGTGCACATAGGACATTGACTTCCATAACACCGTACCACATGATATCTTCTCACCTTAAAAAAAATCAGGAACATTTTTCACATTAAGCGCCCTATCCTCGCAATAGCACTGGCCACACTGGGTGAGCATTCAGTCACAGTAAGTCGTGGGTCTTCACCCCTGAAGAGAAACATGTTATTGCTCTCTGCGTTTTACCCTTGAGTCAGTCGGTAGGGGTTTTGTCTGGTTTGAAATACATCTTCAATTGTAATACAGCACATTGTTATCATTAACTATGAGTAGCAACCACACAAAAGGTGATTCCAGTGCTTCAGCAAAGAAAAAACAGAACATTGGAAGAAAAACCTGAAAATATGAAGCCTACAGACAACGTTGAGCAAATCTGTGATATCATGCTTACTTTGAATCCGATTGGGTCTATAGTACATACGTGGAGGACAAAATTAAAGTTTCAAACATGCAACATTAAGTAATAGTTGTCATTCTATATTTTTTATCCTTTATTTTAGAATATATGCCCTACTGTTAGCTCATCTTTTTAAACAAACTTTATCTATGCTTACATACCTAGAAACACTCAAATATGAGCATTACACAAATACATTCATACCAATAATATACTAACCTATACATACAAGCATTCAAACTCATTTTTGTACACATGCAAATAAGATTGTACTTGAAAATAAGAACAAAATTAACATTTCAAATGCCTGCCAAGAATGCAACCATTGTTTTTTCCAATGTTTTTAATGTCAAAATCACACCCTCGTTAAACATTTTCACATAAAATAGGTGTTTTTGAGAACTGTGTTCTGTGATGAATTACTATGAAGAATGCTGTCCATCTTTACGCTGTAAGATTTTGGTGTGGGGCTTTTTTTGTGTGCTCACAGACACTTGCAGATTATTAGTTTGTGATGACCCACATTACTGAGGCATCTTAAGAAGTATTCTATTACTGGTATCTGTGTACTACTCCCTTTATAGAGCAAAGATTTCATTCTTCGATGGGATCTGTTTGTTGGTTTTCATAAACTGAAACATTTTTGTAATGAAAGAACTCCTTTCTTTCCTGTTCTATTAACTCAGGTGTTAGGGCACTAACATTCAGGATTGGTTTTAGTTCTCTCCTACAATCCAGGTCTCATTTGCTTTCTGATTCATACAGGATAAGCTCTTCAGACATCACTCACATTCTGGGAAACCTGGAAGAAATCAGCACTTTCCAGCAAATGCTTGTCCAGACTCTGGAGGAATGCACAAAGTAGGTGTCCTTTGTTTAATTCAGTGTCTAGTCAAGGATTTACCATCACTGGTTTATTTTGTGACAGGTGTTTTAAATTTAATTCTAGAGCTTTTTCCTGCAAAGATTTATTTGAAAGTAACAGTCTGCTAGCCTTCTCTCTTGAAACACCAAGGTACACAAGTGAAATGTGGCTTTCAGTAAAGGGAAAGAGGGGACATCTGGTGTTCAGTTGTGGTAATGCAGCTATCCTGATGTGCATGAGCTGTTTCCTTTCTGTGAAGCAGTGCAGCTTAGATAACTAAGGATTATTTTTGGATTTAGAAAAATTAAAAATATACTTTTTAAATTGTAGTCTTCCTTGGCCTTGCTGCTGTCACCTTACTCCTATGGTAGGGGGTTCCAGTTTGTGAGAACTGTTATCAGAGTATAGAACCTCAACTGTTCACTGCACACCGACGTACTTCGACAAACATGACTGGGCAGAATGAAAAGCTCAGTGATGTTGTGTGCTTTGTGTGTGGGCAGATTGCCGGAGGCCCAGCAGAGGGTGGGTGGTTTTTTTCTGAATCTCATGCCCCAGATGAAGAACCTCTACGTTGCCTATTGTGCCAATCACCCTTCAGCTGTCCATGTCCTCACAGAGCACAGGTACGTTGGAACAGGTGTTTTCACTCGCCTTGTGTAGTGGGGTGCATATTGTCCTGGAACTAACACCGTTTAAACCCTTTTCATTCCATTTCTGTGGGTGTGCCTCTTTGTTTTCCTGAAAGAGTTAACAAAAAAAAAACTCCACAAAGGTTCTTAAGCTCCTCCTCATTACCTCAGACCCAGCACAGCATGATGTCAAAGGCAGACGTGTGATACTAAGGATTTTGGGCTAAACCGGATCTGAGAGAGGTGTCTGTCATTTGCTGGATTTTTGTGACCCATCAGAATGCGCTGTTTGTGCAGAAGTGCGAGGCCCGTGAGTTCGGAGAGCTCATGCTCTATATACTACAAACAAAGCTCCAGGCAGGACATGTAAGTCATTCCTATTGAGCTTTCATTTGGCGGCGAGAAGATTGAAAAGCTGCCATCTCCTACATCTGACAGACTGCTGCCTTTGGAAAGCTTTCTGTGTTTCACTTGTCTTTCTTTGGTGAGCTTCGATTGTAAAGATCAGACACAGGGTTTTCCAAAGTCAATAACGTTTGAATCGCTTTTGAAAAGTGATTGCAATTGCAAAACAAAAAGACCAGATGTTCAATATCCAGTAAAAGAGTAGTACAAACTCAATACAATTATCTGTAAAGACTGTAGAGCCACTATATTTCCTTATGTTATTGTGGTGTTGTAATATTAATATAATTTATTTGTAAGAAAGTGTTCAGATTTGTTTTATTTTCATTATAAAGCTGGGTGAAATGCAAAAAATAAGCACACTTTTATCAGTATTTTCATTTGTTTACAGTAAAAAGTGGTTATGTACCACATACATTATAATGATTATGATCGATGCAGGATAAACTAAATGAGGTGTCTGGTCTTTGATAACCATCATTTGTAACTGACACCACACATCATTTCAGTAAGTACAGTGGATTGAAGTTATAGTTTATGTTGTAGTGTAAAACTAGTGCTTGTGCAGTAGAGGCTCATCCCATTGGCTGTTAGTGTTTGTCCTTTCCGCAGTGAATGTTCCAGGGGATTCGTCGAAAGCAGACAACATCACAAAAGAGGAATTTTCGGCTTTAGCAGTCCTATGTATAACTATTTATTTTTACAGTTCAGCCCCAGACGTACTGTAGAAGCTCTGGTACAGGGTGGTTTTAATGGAAAATGCATATGTGGTAACACAGGTGTAATCTAACCAAGAACCACTGAACAGTGCTAATGTCCATATACTGCCGCCCCAATGCAGCATTAAGGAGTGATATTTATGTGTTCATGCTAATGACATTTAGAGAACACGGTATTTAAAGTCACAGTATTTTTGTTTACTGTGTAAGTATATTAAGAAACAATAAAATTAAATATTTGATCTCATAAACGAATGAGGCTGTGCTCTAGGCTTTCTTTTAATACTTTAGAAATGCAGTAAATAGGGTTGGACATGTTAGAGATGTACTATACTGCACACAACTTCCATGCGAGAAGTGATGGTTCTGTACTGTTACAGAAATATACTAATGTTTGAAGTGACACATTTCAATGTTAAATTGACAAAAAACACTTTTTAATTTCAAGTAACAATAGTGTACAATGATTAAATCTTCTTTTATTTAGGTTGCACCAGAGCAGTTAAGACATTCTATTTTGTAGCCAAAAGTGGCTTGGGGTTCATGACTGCAATGACTGCATCTCAGTGTCTCATCTAAGTACAAGAGCTTTTATTAATCCCACATATACAGTAAACCTGTAAGCAGTTTAAAGGGAGATTTGCACAACGGGCAGAGTACCACAGGCGTTGGGATAGGGTGAACATGCAGAAGACGTACAGTATCAGCAAAAACATATGTTTCTGAATAATCACTATTTAATTCACGCAAGTGATAGATTATTTTCCCCCATAAACTCCTTCCTACCACAGCGTTTGTGTGCCACACGTACCAGTTAAAACAGTATATGGGAGTTTAATCTGATCTTGATTTGATCAAAATCCTTCACTGTTTCACCCCTTAAAGGTGATGTGAAAAGACAAACAACAATAAAAAACATTTTGTACAACTTAATTTCCAAGTAAATCATAGTAATAGCCTATATCTGAGCAAATCCCAAAGTGCTCGCTAAGTAATTATTAATTTTGAAGTATTGTTAGACCTTGGATGACTTCTAATCATTAGGCATGGATTCCCAATTGGCACATGGAGGTAATAATTCCTTACACTTATATAGCACTTTTCTGGACACTCTACTCAAAGTGCTTTATGGGTAATGGGGACTCCCCTCCGCCACCACCAATGTGCAGCCCCACCTTGATGATGCGACAGCAGCCATAGTGTGCCAGAACGCTCACTTCACACCAGCTATTAGTGGGGAGGAGAACAGAGTGATGAAGCCAGTTCATAGATGGGGATTATTAGGGGATTGGTAAAGGCCAATGGGAAATTTAGCCAGGACACCAGGATTAACATCCATACTCGTTTCGAGAAACACCCTTGGATTTTTAATGACCACAGAGAGTCAGGACATCATTTTTTACAGGATGTCACCTTTTTACAGTATAGTATTCCCATCACTATTCGGGGCATTAGGACCCACACAGACAGCAGGGTGAGCGCCCCCTACTGGCCCCACTAACACCTCTTCCAGAGATAATCCCACATCATTTGTCAGCAAAGAAAGACCCTTTGTTCTCATGACAAAAACCTGGCAAAAGGATTATGGGAGTGGTCAATAGACCAGCTGCATTTATTCCAGTCGGTTTGGGGGAGCACTGCTGCCTGCCGTCTGGCAGGTGTGGAGAACGAGCAGCGGAAGGGAACGGCCGCGCCCTTTCTGCTCTGCCTAAGCAGTTTCCTTTGCGTTTCTTCCGGCAGCGAAGAGCTGGGAGAGTTCATGGAGCTGAAAGGTGCCAGCAGTCCGGGGATCCTGGTGCTGACAACGGGCCTCAGCAAGCCCTTCATGAGACTGGACAAGTACCCCACGCTGCTGAGGGAGCTGGAGCGACACATGGAGGTGCGCACATGGGTGATTCCTCATCTCACGCCACTACCGCTGTAGCCTGAGTGAATGAAGGTCTGGTCTCTGGTCTTAGTGATCAGTGATCCCGAAGAATGGCGGCATGAGATACTGGGGCATATTTAACAACGTAATCATATGATTTATGGATATTAATTACTTTCAGGTTGTGTTTTATTTCGTTTTTTTTCTTACCATTTGTTATTTTGTAATTCAATAGAAATGTTCTCTTAACAGTCTTGCTCACCTGTGGCAAGATGAAGGGAGACAGGAGAATGGATGTAACGTGAGCATTGTACACAGACCCCCGTTTTTCTGCATTGGACTTCAGAGCACAGTGTGATACTGACCTTTGCTAGCAATCTACACCAGAGAGGAACCGAGTTCTGAAAATATCCTTTATTCGGGGAGCTAATTAAGTGGAACAGTATTTCAGAGCATTATCCTTGAATTATCCTTTAAAGATTGTTCATCTCAGCAACACGTAATTGTCTTGTCACAGACTCTCAGGGTCTTCTGTTGGTGTGTAGTGCTCTAATGTAAGCATCAGCGACAGCAAGCCGAGAATAACAAATACAAAAACCAGGAAGTGGAGCAAAAAGAGGATGAGATCCAAACAGTTCCTTTAAAGACAGTGATTGCTGTCACCTTCATTGACAAATAGATGGAGCTCTGAAAGTTTCACTTTATAATGATTCAGCTCCTGAGTCAGCACAGAGTAGATGAGGGCCTTGTGTTGTCCCTGCAACACAAACAAGATTCTCTTTCTGAAAAGAACACTTGACCACATATTTGAACAACAACAACAACAACACCAACACCAACAACAACAAACAGAGGGATTTAGAACACAAATAGTTTCTTGGGTCTTTTCCTATGTTATCCCCACATTAGGAAAGACAGTATGCTAAGTTTAATTTGCATTATTTAACATCCATTTATCATTCTCCGGTATTTTTTGGAAAATAAATTATTGTTAATCGGAATTTTATAAGAATAAAGTGCATATAAGTGCACAAATGAAATAAATACAAATGAAAAACTTTAAAATAACACCAGTAAACTATAAGCATTTAGTACAGTATACTTACAGCCCTCATAATTCTACTTTTGTGCAAGTGCAAGTTTGCATTTCAACAGATCTGTGCCTGGTTCTTTTCCTGTGATCCTATTTTATGCATGTGTATTCCTAAAGACCTGAAGATTTGACCTTACAAATTAAAATGAGTTTCATGGCCTGAATTCCATGTATGAGTGACGGTCAGTTTTGGATGTGGATGTACAGAACAGTCTCCTTCACTGGGAATATTGTAACATTTTGCATTGAACTTTTTTAAATTTAGAATCTGTTAAATTGAAATTTGACATTCTCCATGTTCTTCTCTTTGAAGGATTATCACCCGGACCGACCTGAGATTCAGAAATGCATGACAGCCTTTAAAAATCTTTCTGTAAGTCACTAACGTTTTGCATCTACCCTAAGGCTTATTTTCCAGGTAGACGTAGGGCACTATGAAACCATATTTTTTGTATACATTGCATTCCTATCCATGTTCTTGTGAATTTTTGTGTTTCCGTTAATTCATATATTAACAATAGATTTTCAGTACATTGCATGATGCTGTAAATTGTTATTATTTAAAACAAGTTCAACTCTCCTAACTGTGTAGTTGCTTGGGAGCTGTAGTTCTTATATTTGTTTCAGTAATGTGATTTGCTGAGAGTTTTTAAAGCATTGCAAGTCTGGCACAAATACAAAATGTATTTTGTTGAGGTGCTTTTGACATCCAATCAATCTGCTTCCAAAGATTAAAATGTCTTTCGACTAAGCTGCTTTCTCTAATTGAATGTTACAGTACTGAGAAAATGCTAGATATAGGGCTGGCACAAAATATATTTATTTGGAAAAGCACAGGTGGTAGCAACCCTTCTACTTTGCCAGCTGCATATTATGTAAAAACCAGTCAGGTTATTTTTGCCCAGCTAGCAAAAGTCTAGTCTAGTGATCGCTGCCCCTGATCTGTGATGTCTATAATATACCGTAATGAATTAAGTACAGTACACCAGTATTGTGTACGTTACACACTTGATGCATTAAGTAGCAATTGTTTTGGGGCTTGGCTGTGTCTTGTCACATGATTGTGATTTGCTAGTTTGCTGTGAGTCTAGTAGGATATTTAAATTATAAATTAAACACCCTCCGAACTGTTTTAATTGGTTTCACCAGCAGCGCTGAAGCTCTGCTCTGTAGATCTAGAAGGCCAGTTCCTTTATTATTGGCATCACACACATTTGTACTCCCTGTGTTCTCTGTGAGCTGTTCCTTTGTTGCAAGGCCATATCTTCTGCACACAGCCTCCCTTTCTGTTCCAGACTAACTGATCAGTTCATCTTGCAGAATAGGCTTTGAGAGATTCAGATGAACAGAGTTTTTTCTGTTTTATTAAATGGCTGCCAATACGGTTTGGCCGCACAACTGTTAACTTTTTTTCCCCCATTCTTTCTTTGGTTACTGTGCACATTTTTCTGAATGGGAGATTATTCTTGCTGGTAGGCTTCTGGAGTGCATTTGTGTCAGTGCTTTTGTTCTTCTTACCAGTTGTTCGTTCAGTTGAGAACACATAACAGTGAGGGGGATCTTTAGTTTTGCAAAGTAAGCCAAGAGATTCTGGCTTAACAACAGAGAATTGTTGCTCTCATCTCATTTAGCTGAACCAGCTTAGATCTGGGGGAAGTACTGGCTAAAGGGATAGGGCTGCTGACAGTTGTCTTTAGTGCAATTCTGATACTTTGTCACACAATTCTAGGTAAAATGTAAAACTTGACACTTTTTCCCTTCTGAAATTGTAGTTTTTTAAGATCTGGTTGTGGTTGAGGTGGGTGGCATGGTGGCGCTCTGGCGCACATTGCTGTCTCACAGAGTTGGGGCCCAGGATTTAATTCTGGACTGGGGTGCTCTCTGCGTGAAGATTGTATGTTCTCCCCGTGTTCACGTGGGTTTTCGCCGGGTGCTCCAGTTTCCTCCTACAGCCAAGAGATGTACAGGTAGGCGAATTGGCTTCTGGGAAATCTGGCCCTGGTGTGAGTGCGTGCGGGTGTCTGTGTCTGGAATGACACCCATCCTGGGTGTGTCCTGCTGTGTGCCTGTTGCTTCCTGGGATAGGGCCCGGTTCCCCCTTGACCTGGTGTTGGATACAGCAGTGAGAAAATGGATGCATGGTTGTGCTTAAGTGTACTTCTGTGATAGTTGATATGTATGTGCTTTGCATGTAGTATTTACTATAGTAAATGCTATTATCTAAGCACATCTATATCATAATAAAAGCCATTAATCTAAGCTCTCATTTTCTCTGGTGGTAGCCAGTCTCTTTAGAGAAATTCGTTTGCAGTACCTAGTTTTTAAGTCGTGTGCAGAGTAGCGTTTAAATGCGCAGTCCTGTGAGCAGAAACGTCAACTGAGAATAATTTGTTTTTTACAGTTACGACATAACTAAATGTGCTCTAAAATGCTCTAAATGTGGACGTGGAAGTCCCCAGCTTGGATAAAAGTTTGAGCAAACCTTCTCAGTGTACAGAAGGATCTTATACGCACACCACAGTGTTAGAGGTCCCGTATACTGTACCTGGACCTGGTGTTGCAGCAGTGCTCTGCACAGTTCGAAGGTGAAGATGCCTCTGTAGTTAATGAGCTATACGTGATGGTTCCTGTGACAGGCACAGTGTCAGGAGGTGCGCAAGAGGAAGGAGCTGGAGCTGCAGATCCTGACAGAGTCGATTCGGAGCTGGGAGGGAGAAGACATTAAGACCCTGGGCTCTGTCATCTACATGTCCCACGTCATGATCCAGTGTACCGGAAGTGAGGTAGATCACTGTTAAAATCACGACTTTGCCTTTTCAGTGAACCTTTGTCTCAGTTGTCACCAACGGGCTACTTGTCTGGTCACTCTTGCTATCATGGGATGTGGCCACCTGCAACCACCAACAGACTAGAATCAAAGGCTGAGAGCATCGAGGCAAAGATATAAAAGCATATATATTTTTGTACAATTGATATAATAAGATCCCGAGAATACCTTTTGATTCTATTCCTTAAGGTATGCTGCGGATGTTCAGTAAAATATCCACAGATGTAATTTGTTATGTTAAGCTCAGAAAGAAACCTGTTTAAAAAGTTCATTATTGCTATATAACCATGAAGTTGTCTGGACAAACTGTTGATCCCCGAAAGTGGGGGATTTTGCGGAAAGAGGGGGGATTTGTGTTCTTGCAATTGTTTGCCATTTTTTCCTTTCCATGATTAGCTTGAATTAGTTTCTGCTTCATTTTTTCCTGAAAATTAAGCCCAGCATGGCTTGATACCAGCTCACTCTGAAGTCATGTGAAAGCATCTTAGCACTAGATTAAGTAAACATCAGAAAATGATGATCAGCAACAAGCAACAAGATCAGCATATAGTCCTATAGATAGAAGTCTGGTTTCTCTCCTAATGTCCATGGTTTTGTGAAGTAATTGGAGGTTTTGCATGTTACTGTGTCCATCACTTTTATTGTGGTATGAAATGCATTTATCAATGCTGATTCGTTCTAACCCAGAAATATAAAAATAGCGTTGCAGTTTCTTTTTAATTCACTCTCCTTTTCAGGAAAAAAACGAGCGATACCTCCTGCTGTTTCCACATGTATTATTGATGCTGTCTGCCAGCCCCAGAATGAGTGGCTTCATTTATCAGGTGAGGCACTTCTGTGACTGACAGTGGACCTCTCTCTCACAAGACAGCCTGTGGTCTGTGATTCACTTGATCTTCACATTTGCATCGCTCTGTGGCAGCCTGCAACAATGTGTTTTAACGTTTCTGAAAGAAACAGTACACCAAGTGCAATCGCTAACATGTTTCGTTTAAACTCTCTAGTGAAAGCCCTTGGACACGTTAATCTATGGCTCTGTTTCACAGAATGATTTTCTGTGGGGCTATCTGCGCCCCCACTGCTGAATATAATGGTAATATGTCATGATTTGCTCTTTCTAGGGTAAACTGCCGCTAACAGGAATGACAATCTCCAAACTAGAAGATAGTGAAACTCAGAAAAACGCTTTTGAAATTTCTGGTAAGGTGTAAGCCTATATGAAAGTCAAGCAATAAAAGTGAAGTATGGGTTACTTTTAAAAAATATGCAAGCAGCTGTAATTCCACATTTCTTTGGCCATTACACCAATGGTTATCAACCCTTTTTGATTATGACTCCTCCCGGCATCAGTCATTCCTGATATGCACTCTCAGATTAAACATAAAAGCAAATCTACAATAAAATGTTATTATATAATTGTTCTGAAATGATGTAGTGTTGAGAACCAGCGTGTTGATGGTTCAGCAGACTAAACAGTGAAGCAGATCTCAGCCCCGTGAGGGTGTCGACATTACATGCCGCAAGCCTTGGGGTGAAATGGTTATCAGTTTGCTTCTGGGAAACGTCTGGACAGTCTTTGAGATCTTCCACTTGTCCCAGTACCTTGGGTCAAGAACCATAGCATTAATCCTTACAGACATTACTAATCCTTTCAAATATTATTTACAGATACTGAGCCCAGTTATATACAGCGTTTATGTAGCTATCTGGTTGGGCAAAATGCTAGGAGAAGTTACAAAAAAGCAAATAATGCCTGTTTTCATGCTTGTAGAAATGGAATTAGAGAAGTTTTAAGGTACAAGATAGCTCTGTGGCTATGTCAATGAAACTATCGCCTGACTGACCAATGAAGATGTTCTGCCAGCAAAGTGGCATTTTGTTCTATATGCTGAATATGATTTTTGTGCTGCAGGGAATATGATAGAACGTATACTGGTGTCCTGCAACAACCAGCAGGATCTGCAGGACTGGGTGGACCACCTGCAGAAACAAACTAAAGTCACCACCATGGGCACCCCTACTATCAAACCACAGTCCGTGCCCTGCCACACAGTAAGTCTCAGTGGGTCGAGGGGCTCGAAGTAAATGGAAAGCTGGACTAGAGTGCATTTAAGTTTAGACTTAATCGTGCCGGGAGACCCACGCAAGGCTTTTGTAGTATCCAAAAAAAGGCAGTTGTTCATTAAACACATTGTTTTGTAGTGAGAGAGTAAAGTGGCTGTTTAACATCTTTGTTACAGCTTTGGTGTGCTTTTTTATTGAAAAGGTTTGTCTTTGTTGTTATACAACAGGAGTGAGATGGATATACTGTGGTGGTCTGGTCCTTCTTCCTCCAGGGCGTATTCATTCCCAACTCTGCTGGGCTGGAATAACAAGGGCCCGGAATATAGAGGCTTTTTGATTTGTACCGACTTTATTATCAATAGGAAATTCAGCAATTTTGTAAACACAACTAAGCCTCCCTCCCATACACTGGAGGGATTTTGAAGATTTCTAGCAACTGTTCATGGAGAAAGATTAATTGGTTTAAAAACCGCTGAAGTTCTTTTCCAATTTGTATCACAGATAGGAACCCTGGGTTTGAATGAAAAACCTAAGGAAGAACCTTGTGAAGGTAGAGCAAGCTATATGGTCACAAAGCTTATAAATGTCCAGTATCAGAACAGGAGAAAATACATAGGAATGGTTGCTTTGAATTTCAATGAAAGGTAACGTAATTGAAGCCCGCCAGTTTGGAAGTTATCGAAGGGATTTCCTCTGGAGTGTTAGTGACGTAACTCATCCTTTCTTATCTCCCCAGCTTCCTTCTCACCCGGTCACCCCATCCGGCAGACATTCCGAGAACAGGCCAGTGACAGTGGCGCCGGCCTACCACACTCTCCCGCACCCCTCCTCCCACGGGACCCCCCATAGTACAATGATGTGGGGTCCCCTGGAGCCCCCTAAGACCCAAAAACCATGGAGCCTGAGCTGCCTGCGACCAGCACCTCCACTCCGGCCCTCTGCAGCTCTCGGCTACAAGGAGGTACGTCTTACCGGACTGTTTTGTTTACGGGAATATCAGTCCCACGAAATAAGGCCTGATTTGCGTCCTGTGAAAAAAAGGGGCTCATCAGCTTTTGTGGTACTGCAAAAAGATGTGTTGCAGAGGTTTCAGTGTAGGCTGCCTCACTGGCGGGGATTAGAATATCGTGCCCTTGTGTTTCCAGCCACAAGTTTGTGCAGTTCGCAGTTAAGAAATCTCCTTTCCAGCTTTTTATGAGAATAAGGGATTGGGATAGTAAACAGCTTCCTAGTTGGAAGAAGAGCACAGTATCTGGATGTGAAATGAGGCAAACACCGGGAAAATGCAGGTGAGAGAGCCCAGTGAGGAAACCACTACCTGTATTTTGGGACGGATTCATGGACAGCATGTGCGTCGTTACTACTTGGCTTCCTGAAGCTGTACTGCATGTAAATCTGGCAGGATTTCTGAAACAGATGGCGGACCATGTATCAGATGGTCTGTTCTCGTGCAAGCAGAAATGTAGACATAGAAATTAAATTTGCTGTAACTTCTTTGGTTTCAACATTGAGCCATTAGGCCAGGGTCGACATTGAGTCATTAGCTAAACCCAGTTAAGTGAATGATCCCAGCACCTTGCTCCCTTTCCTCACTCCTTGGCACAGATCTCTCAGCAAGATACATGACATTGTAGCTGGAACAGCAGTTCTCCTTATTCCTTATTTGTTTTTTGCTTTGTCGAAGGATCTCAGTAAAAGCCCTAAAACCATGAAGAAGCTGCTTCCCAAACGCAAGCCAGAGAGGAAACCATCCGACGAGGAGTTTGCCTTGAGGAAAAGTGAGTGCGTCGTTGCTGTCTAGTGCTTTTGACCATGTAATGACAAATTAACTCAGTAAGACCCAGTATGTCCAGATGCTTTTCCTAGCTACTGTCTACAGTGATAGATAATTGTGCTGTTTCTCTAGGCTGAATGTAAAAAAACATTTACACTAAATTTTCTTCTGTTCAATACTTAAATATTAAACATGGAGAAATTAACTTTACATTTTAGTATATATAACTATACTTTGGTGTGGTTTTATAAAGCAAAACTTTTTATAATGGTTGGACATGGTTAATGATGTTAATGTTTTGAAGATAAGTATGGTGTGTTTCTTTGATTGCAGAGACTGTGTTCACTTACTTCTGATGTTCAAAGAGGTATCACAGTGCATGTGCATTCTTTTGTTTTCTTTTAGTTTAATAACACGCCCTGGGTTGTAGTAAATTTGGAAGCAGAAGTAGTTTGGAAGCAGAAGTTTGTTTCTCCAGTACTGTCTCCACATACGTTATAAACCACCCCTTTTGTGAATGTGTCATCATGCCACATTATCTCAAAAAATGTTTTTGTTTTAAATGGTTAAGGAGACAATATTTTCAAAATTATAGTTATTAAGAGTCCAAAAAATGTCTTAAAGTGTCGTAAAGTTATGCCCGATGGTTTCAAAGACTAGTTTCTTTTTCTTTTCCATTTGTGTGTCAGGCAATATTGCCTCGGAAGTCAGAACATACAATGACATATTTCTTGATTTGGTTGTGGTGCTTTCTTGTAAGCATTTTCACCAGTAATTTAAATCTCTTTCCCCAACATTTGCAAATAAGAACTGTTAAGTATACAGTCTTGAAACTTATTATGCATTCTGTATTGACAATATAAATCACAGATGAATGATTTCTCTTTCATAAACTGTCACTGATGCTGTCCTTTTAAAAGACACAGGATTGAAACTTTTGAAAGGCTTTAAAAACCTTGAAGAATGTAAAGGATGGTCTCTGGTTTATAATCATTTTTACAGTGTTTGAATTCAGCCTCATTTGAGAGGGCTAATCAGCTGTTCATCTAAAGGAATTCGGAGGTACTGGGCCAGTCATCACCACCTGCGAACAGTGGACAGTGTTGAATTCTTCTGCGGCTGATCTGGTATTTTGTAGTAGTGGAGCTCAATGTTGTAGTACAGTGGTACTGTGTGGCTCTGAAGCCAAGATCAAGCCCTTTTGGGGTTAGAGCAGAGCTGCATTCATCACATAAGCGGTGGCTTTTTCTTATTTTTTTGCAGGTACGGCAGCATTAGAGGAAGACGCACAAATTCTCAAAGTCATAGAGGCTTACTGCACTAGTGCCAAAACCCGACAGACACTCAATTCAAGTAAGTCCTTAAACTCTGCTTGGTGGCTTTCAACATGTGAAATGTGATCTTTCTTCTCATATACTTGAATTGTTTCGGGTGCATCAACATCTTTTAACGATTAGTTAAGAGTTTGGCGTAAGCCCGAAAGTTGGCAGATATTTCAGAAAATTGGTGCTGGTTCTTGATATAAAAAGAAGAATTGGAATGTAGATCTCTTCATTATTGCTTTGTTAACAAAATGGATTAAATTAAATGTAGATGAAATATTCAGGTTAGTTTAAATTAAACTATTCACAAACGGGTCAGATGGCAGATGGGATTGTGACTGCGCGCTGAAAGTCTTTAAATTATTGCAGCACCTAATGGCTTCTCCTTTCTTAAAATCAGTCTTTATTTCAGATATTTTGTACTTGATGATTTGGAATCATCCAATAATATATATTTTATTCTTATTTAAACTATGTTTCTTATCCATTGCTATTCAAAAACCTGGATGAACGTACTTTACTTAAATGTACAACACACAAGTAAAGATTAATTCCATGCTGAAAAGTAAAAAGAACGATATTGGCTGTGGAAACCAAATCAAAACCAAAATCAAATAATGGAAATATATACATGTCAAATTGGAATTTGAGGTCTTTGAATAAGAAAGCCCCAATGGAGGTTAAATGCACCAGCGTTCGCCATATACAGTAATAGATTTGCCAAGTCATCATTCTGACAATATTTTGAGATTTTCCCCAGATGTCCAGGAAGGATGATGCACAGCACTTAAAGCCAATGATTCAGTTCAGTCCTGAGGTATTAACTGTTATAACGTGAACTTTCTGCAAATTTCCCTTGATGGTCTGTTAGGGGAATGAATATGTCCTACTGTTTGCCTCAGGCTCGTCAGGAAGTCTGCTTTAACCCCTCTCCTTACTTCCTGTACTAACACTGAACATTCACACCTGGTGCTTCTCGGGGTCACTCTGTGGAGCTTAACTTGACTGGATTTTCAATCCCCCCCCCCCGTATTTCCTGTCAAACGTGCCGTCCCACAGGGCACAAAGGGGGGCCTTTTCCACATGATCAGTCTGGGCAGGACTGACTCTTCTGTGATCTGTTTCTGGAGTTTCTTCCGGAGCCCGCAGAGCGAGGCACATTGATCTGCCTCGCTGTCCTGCCACATTTCTAACAGTGTTTTCTCTTCTCCTTCTCTTTTCCCTTCACTTTTCTGTTGCGTTGTTCTCTTTTCTGTTGTTCCGTTTGTCCATTTTCATTTCCTTGTGTTTGTTGCTTTCACTGCCCCCTTTTTTGTTTATTTTGTCCGTTTTACTCCCTCTTTTATATTCCCTTTACCCCCCCACCCCCCCCACCCCACCCATTCCTATGATTTCATATTGCCCACACTACCCCCTAGCATGGCAAGGCACTGACCTGATGCATAATCACGTCTTGGCTGACGATGACCAGTCCAGTCTAGAATCGCTGGGTCGTCGCAGTAGTCTGTCCCGCCTGGAGCCCTCCGACCTCTCAGAAGACTCAGACTATGACAGTATATGGACAGCCCATAGTTACAGAATGGGTTCTACAACTCGTAAGAGCTGCTGCTCATATATCTCTCATCAGAACTAAAGCACTCCTTTTTTTTCCTCCTTTTTGTTACTTAACAACTGCCTGTTGCGTTGACTGTTTACTGTTTCTGTGCCCTTTCCTTTCTGCAGTCGGGTGTTCCCTCTCCCCTGCTTTTGATGCTCTTTCATTTTTGCCCCGTTCTGCTGGGGATGGTGGGGAGTGAGGGTGGGGGGAAATTGGAATGGGGGCATTCTGACTGAAATTCAGGCGTGCTGTAGAAGAGACGTCTCTAGATTTTGCCGTGTGTAAGTATAGTGTGTCCTGAAGTGAATTTTACCAGTGTATATGCACACACTGTCCCCCTGTATGTGTGGCACGCTTAACGGACTACAACTCATTGGTTCAAAAAAAGATACTAGTGTAGATCACTATGATATACAGGATATATTAAAACTGGCCTTTGTAATAAGTAGGTTTTAAACAGATTTGAACAAAACAAAATATTTTGTCTCGTTTGCCTAAATGAATGATATTCCAGTCCATTTTTAACCATAAAACTGCTTTATTAATTTGTAATACATGAATTTACAGAACTTCAGGAAATGTTTCGTCACTGTCTGGCAAATGTCTGTCAATGTTAGATCCCAGGTACATTTATGTACGACTTGTAGTGCAGTAATATTGCATTCCATTTATGAGTTTGTACTGAATACCCAAGATGACACATTTGTGGCATCCTAGCACGTGTTCCTTCTCTTTGCACTGTTTGTGTCCTTGTTTTCTCTCACTTCAGTATTTATTTCCAATAGTGGTGTAATTAGAGGGCCTTGTTAAGAGTCACAACCTCCTGTACAAAGGACAGGTATTATTCTGTCCTTGTATCGTCAACACATGCAATACACTGCACATAAAACAATTTTGGGATTAAGAAATCACAGTTTAATTGCACATCACTTGACGTGTTGAGGTTACTATCATTTTTTAGCTGTGTTGTTATTCTTAAAGTTTTAAGTCTCAAATAATCTGCCACTACACAATTGTCATTCCCTTAATTTACAGAAGCACTCTTAAAACATCCGCAGTTTATGTGAGGGCTTTTGCTTCTCTAGTAAATGGTATCTTGTCTTGGTTGTCACAGTTGAACACTTACGAAGCTCATACACACACTTGTGAAAGACAGCTCATAATTCAGTATTTAATCTTCTTCAGCATTAATAACAGAAGAATGTAAAACGTAAATTTAGTTGCGAAGAAGTATCTGTTTCCTCTTCCAAAAAGCCCACATCTTCTTAAACGTTTTCTGTGGAAAAATACTTTGGTACCATTCCTTATGGTATGCTGGCATTTGGAGGAAGACAGTACAGAATGAAACACTGTGATGAGAGAAATCTGTGTTTTAGAACCACAGTGTGAACGCTGCAGTTAGTGCTGAAAGAATAGAGTCTACAAACTTTTACAATGAGCTTGTGCTCTACCAATAGGTTTCTTGCAATACAGATATTGTTGTCATAGTGACATGGGTCCTATCATCTGAATAGGACTTTGGTAATATTGTGGTATTTGGGTTTATTTTCCAATTGTTTTCTGGAAAGAGGCTTTCTATCTTGAATTGAATTGCTGAAATTGAATGCTAGGTTACTGAGCTTTGCATGGGGGAAAAAAGCTAAGAAATGACACAACATTACAGATTGGAGAGAGTGATTCAAATTAGCTCCTTTTATATGAGCCTTGTAGAAGTCCTTTTACCGCCTTTCTTACTGAAGAACGATTGCCTCTTAAAGAGTATTTCACCAAAGCAGGGAGATGCAGTGGTTAAACACCTACAGTATTGAGCAATGGGAGAATGATGCTTGGGTCATAAGCTGCAAAAGTGTCCTTGAGGTTTTGTTGAAATATTGCCTGTGCTGATGATACCTCAGATATCCAGTGATCTGCCAAAAACCGATCAGTCTAGGAGACAGAATATAGAAGACACAAGACAGAGTTTGGCTCTGAATTTCAGTGGTCAAAATGACAGTTAAAAATATCTGCTTTGATGCTGGTACAGTCAAAACGTGTAAAGGCAATGAAAAAGCAGAAAATCCATGTCATTGTGTAATCTGTCCTGTACAGTGCAAAAGGATAACCTTCAAGTGAGTGTTGCACTCCAACCGTAAAATCTTTTGGTATTTTTGAAGGCTTACACATTTAGGTTATTTCAGTTTATTTTGGTAATAAACTTTTAGTTTATATAGAGTTTATGTTCAATAAACATGGTCAATAATGTCAGTTGAGCATGATTAACATCATGGTTTCATTCATTTGTTAGACTGTTTGCAAGATGTCAGAAAAGGTGACATACGGTCCAAATAATTTGTGAGAATGTGCATATTCTTTGCTCTTTTCTGAATGAAGAATTTATCAAAATAGTGCAATTTCCAGCAGCATATGCAGTTGGCTGTCTGAAATGCCCGGAGCCCTGTACTTGTCTTAATTTGTTTGACTAAACTGAAAAATAATGCAGTTCATTTGTATAACTAGAAGTGCTAGTGTTGTAAGAATATTGTGTAATATTTTGTAAATAGAGCTTGTAGTGTTGAATGCATTTTACATGAGCAGAGGGAAGAAAAGCAGAAGAACTATTGTGGAACTGAAGACATTTTGTGGAAGTAAAGTTTTTTTTCTGCTTTAGAGTATTTTAGGATTGCAAATATTTGTTTGTGGTCTTCAGCAACTCCAGTGACCCACAGCGCTATTTACACTTGACTGTCTGTAGTCCAATAATGGACTATTGATTTTAATTACAGCAATTTATACTTCAAAAGGAATGATTTATTTAAATAAGGACCTCAACTTTTATTTATATGTGTATTTGTGTATATATGCAATTTTATAAAGTCTTGGTAATTTTCAATTTAGTTTACATTATCTTCCTAGCCTCAACTCTTTTACCAACTTGAAACAGTTAGGGGACAGTTAGGATTTTTGCATCTTTCTATTATAAAACTCATGTTATAGTCATCCTACTCCGTGTTTTGGATGTTGATTTTCACTGTTCTGGTGCCTCTATTAAGAACTGGCATACACACACCTGGTTGTCATTGTAAATATGTTTGAATAAAGGACTTACTTAAACTACAGATTTATACATCCTAGAGATGGAGTACACAGAGACCATAAGAGGATGTTTTATGAAAAAGATCCCCATAAAGGGTAGTTGTGGAATGAATATTATTGTTTTGTGAGTTCTTAAATTGTTTAATAAGCTGAGATTTTGTACACCCCTGTGAACAGCTGGAGAATCTAGCTTGTAGTGGCCCTCAATATTGTGTTTAATATTTAACTTCCTTTTACTCCTAATTATTTGTCTCCTAAATGTTACTAACAGTAATGTCAGTCGTGTGCAACAGTATGAAAATTTGTGAACCAATTCCCCAATTAGAAAATGCCCCCAGGCAGTCAATGACAAGAGTGTGGAACAAATGTAAATGGTTTAGAGTCGTATTAAGGTATTTTAAGGCAAGGTCCACACCAAAGCACAGTAGCTCAGCAGCTCATCTTGGTTTGCATAGTGTTGAGAAGACTGAGGACACATGACTGCCCCCTAGAGGAGATGTGAGCCCATTGCAGGTCCTCACTTATACAGCAGGGAGGGCTGGAGCAACTGGGGTAAAGTAGCTCACTCAGGTGTACAGAAGTGGGGACATAACCCACAGTCAGTTGTAAGGCTTACCCAGTGCACCTGCTGTCCCTCTTGCATTTGAATCCACAGATATAGCAGGAAAGGGCAAGGTCTGCATTTAAATTTAATATTTAAAGTGGACTGCCTAGAAGGGCAAAGTGTTTATGACAAAGGCTAAGGGATTATCACAAAGAGGCTCTGAACTCAATACAGTGACAGCATGTGTATTGTGGAAGTGTACAATACAATGACAGATGATGGGTTTCTAGCTGGTCCAATTTGAAACTTACAACAGGAACCAAAAAAAGCTAAATGTTTTTTTTTTTAATTTATAATCTTTGTATATACAGTCTCTGCCACACGGATTGTCTTGCCAAACATGGTGTATTTGAGCTGAGAATAAGCTAGTCGTGATATTGTGTGATGATCTTTGTGACTGAATTCTATCATTTGGCTCGAGAGCCCTCTGAATAGATAACAGCCTTGTATAAACATTGTATGTATATTTGAATGTTACATATTTATTGTACAGTATGTGTATTTGTGTTTGTTATATATCCATATATATAACAAAAACGTAATCAACATTGTAATATACCCTTTTAAATAAATATTTCTTTTGTTAGATTGTGGTACAATGATTTATATTGAAAATGGGAAAAAATGGTACATGTTACATGCAGATTCGTACTATGAAAGTTAGAGGTGTTTCATACAGGAGTGTTGTTCCATTTGAAATTATTTGTTTTCTAATGGAAGTGATTTTTATTTCTAAATTATATAGCTATTTCTGGAAATTACAATGCAGTCATGGACAGAGGTTTCTGTTTCCTCAAGTTCCAGTGAAACTTCTATGTAATTCCCACTGATGCATATGATCAGCCAGCAATAAAATCATCTGTTTAATAATTAAAGCTTTAAAAAATCATTTCCAACTCAGTAGCAGAACACATGGATACCAGATGCTTTTGTCCATGTTTTTAGTGATCTTATGGAAAATGTGCAACGATAAACACTACAGGACTCCTGTGTGGTGACTGGGCTGGGACCTCAGTGGAGCAGATGGGCACTTGAACTTAGGCACGGCCATAACAAAATCCAAAAGCAGATAAATCAGTATCTCTTACCCTTGTCAAGCCACTGGGATGCAGACATCTTGTATATTGGATGTGTGGAAAATAAAGTTTAAAAAGGCCATTGTAATTTTTAAAGATAGAGATGCTTAGTGAATGAATGGAGCACAATCTAGATGTAGTGGCGCAGGTGCCAAAATTATAAAGAATGCCTATTCATTATGGAGACCTGTGTATGGATCATGCAATATGTTGTTAATACTGTTTAAGTGCCTCTCTCTGTCTCAAATTATCATTTTTCCAAACACATTGGTATTCCTTCACCATACAATTGCATCCCAGGCCTGGGGTGTTATTTCTTTCATAACAGCCATTGTGGTGTGGGATTTTAGTAATCGTTGCTCATTCAAACCTGTGTCTGAGGTGTAGCACATCATTATGCTAGATGGCCGCTCGCTCAAAAGAGTTTCTCTCATGATCTCTTAAGTCTCTCAAGTGAAGTGCCTGCTTGCTACCACCTAAAAGAAAAGTTTGTAACGATTTTTTGACAGGTTTTCGCCTGCAGGTATTAGTGTATTAGCATCAATCCTTCCCCCAGCGTTTCTGGTATCAGTCAATCCCTAGTGAAAACTTCTGTCCACAGCTGTGTTTTATCTTGGCTTCTTTGTAATTGCAGTGTTTTTTGTTTTAATTCTACCATTCAACTTAATGTGTTATTAGTGATCATAATAATAGAGTTGTAATTCTATTGTAATAAGACAACAAATTAGAGGGGTCTTTCTGTGTTGTCATATTTATTTCTGTGCTGTTATACACGGCAGATGTTTAAAGGCTCATGACAAGAATGGAGACATCAAAGACTGTTAAAGAGGTTGAACAAAAGAACAAAACTTCAACGAGAGGAAAAAGACTATAAATTACTGGAAAAGCTGCTATGAGGAGGAGAGTTTTTCCCTAACCTGTGACTCCTGAACTTCAGCCTTTATTGGTCTTCCTTTAAGAAAAAAGACCATCCAATCTGCAAGACATCTGAAGAAACCATTGTGGTTATTTCTGTATGCTACAGAATGGGGAGTGTTTTATTTAAGATGACACATTAATTATATTTGCTTCGGTATAATAAAAAACAGGGGTTAAATGATCTGGGCACTTGGTTTTACAGCACTTTTTTGTCTTGTGAGATGTGTGTAAACAGTGTAGGGTCACTGCATGTAGAGTTACTCAGTAGTTAGCTTTGTTTTCACCACAAGAAGCACAGATTACCTGAAACGGCAAACTGAAACCAAACTGCAGACACTTTCTTCTTTTAAAACAGGGTCTAGGAAGGAATCAGGCCCTCATATGCTATTTCCTGAAGAGGAGAAGATTATTGTGGAAGAAACCAAAAGCAATGGTCAGACTGTCATTGAGGAGAAGTAAGACTGTTTCTCTCAACAACTTTTGTATTTTATCTGAGGGGCCCCTTACTGGCACTTGGAAAAGAACTGATATAACTTAAGGGAAATTTTATTAACAAAAGGAAACTGAGTTTGACATTCAGCCATAAGGCTGATCTTGAAAGGCCATACAGAATTGTCATTTGTCTGAAATTGATCGTGCACATCACGTAAAAGGAAAAAAAAAAAGAAAGACCGATCTTGACTAACTCCTAGGCTGTCCTCGGGACTGTTACTGAAGTATAAACACCTTGTAGTTTCCCTCTGTGCATGGATTTTAAGACCTGAACTTAGTGATTCTTTTGATTTATTAAGAAACAAATTGCTGTAGCCACAGACGTTATGCATGACCAAAGAAACTCTGTTTTATTTCTCATACTAATGATTAGGAGCACACTGATTTTAGTAGACAGTTAGATATTTATGCGAAATTTAGTATTCTGATTTATATTGTAAAGCTGCATTCTTCCTGGTTTAGCAGTATATAATTTTTAGTGTATCTTAGTACTGACTGAATTCCTTCTTACATTTCGTACTATTTTTGTATTTTCTGTATTGATGCTTAAACAAGTTCTAATGTTTTAAATTTTAAAGGAGCCTTGTGGACACAGTTTATGCATTAAAGGATGAAGTACAAGAACTTAAACAGGTAGGCAATGATTAGCTCTATTATAAAGGTAATATATCATTTTTTTGTAGATGAGGTCACAAAAGCTGATATCAAATGTTAAGCTAGTATTTACTGCACTATGTAATTGGAACATACAGAAAATAAAAGTAGATGTTTTCTAAAATACACAATCTCTGCCAAAAAGATGGGGTTGATGGGGTTTCTGTGTGACACGTTTAGTTAGTGATAGTTGGAAGAGTTACAGGGCTTTGCAAAAGTATTCAGACTGTTCCGAGGGTGAAATATTATTTACGTACTGTACATTTTTTAACTTTTTTTATTTAAAACGTGAATGTCCGAACTGTAGACTTGTCAGGGTAAAATAATTTACAGTAAACATCAGCAAAAACTAAACCGAAAAATAAGTAAGGCTTTATTTGAATGTTGCTCCATAATGACATCATAATCCCTTTATAACTGCTACACGAGACGTTATAGTCACATGTGTAATGCTTTACAAGGGTGTGCACATATTCCAGCCAAATGTTTTGGGGGTAAGTCACTACCAACTTTTCATACCAGCATGGTACAGTTTTTGCCCATTCATTTTAGCAGATACACTCAAGCTCTCTCAGGTTGCCTAGGGAACGCTTGTGGACAGCATTTTTTCACAGGTTCGTAATAGGGTTCAAGTCAGGACTTGGACTTGAAACAATTAGGGAAACTTATTTTACTATTCTTAAGCCACTACAGTGTAGCTTTGAATCCTAATCCCGCTGTCCCAGTTTTAGGCCTGAAGCTGAAGGTTTTCCTTAAGATTTGTCCATAGTTTGCTCCAGCTCCTTCTACTTTCCCATCAGTCTTGAGAAGCTTCTTAGTCCCTCATGATGAGAGCAGAGCTTTGACAATTTGCTGCCACCACCGTTCTTGCCAGTAGGGATGGTGTTGGGTGACTGATGCACTATGTTGGGTTTGCATCAGGTGTAACCCTTTGCATTTAGTCCTAAAGTTTACTTCATACTTTTTATAGTCTGCCCACTAAATATTGTGCCACATTTTTGCAGTATCTTGCTTGGGTGCTTTTTGCCAACCCTGTGCAACATTTGAAAAATATTTGAAAGTTTCTTTTTAGTTCCGTACAAGAGCCCTTTGTGGAGTGGAGCTGATGGACACTTTCTCCCATCTCAGCCTCAACTCTGTAACTGTTTCTAAGTTCTGGCTGGCCATACAGTGGCCATATAGTTGCCATTGTAACCAGCTCCTTCCTTGCTGGCTACTCAGCTTTGAGGGGTCTGGGTGCCTCCAACTTCTTAATGACAAACTTCAGTATACTTAATGCGATATCAAGGGTCTTTGAAAACGTTTTGTTCCCTTTTCTCGATCTGTGCCATGAGTGGTTTAGAAAGTTCCTTGGCCTTCAGGGTTGAATCTTTGCTTGACCGAAAAATATTCACTCCCATGTTCTGTGTTCTGAACAGGATAACAAGAAGATGAAAAAGTCTCTTGAAGAGGAACAAAGGGCCCGCAAAGAATTGGAAAAGATTGTGAGGAAAGTATTAAAGAATATCAATGACCCTTCTTGGGATGAGACCAATTTGTAAAGAGATTTGCGGCAGCGTTACAGTCAGAGCAGAGTGGCTGTTTTCAGCAGGACACTTCACAACAGATTGCGACATGTACTAGGTCTGAGTCAAATGAGTGCAAGCCGGTATGAAAATTAACCCGAGCCTTCAAGCCATTCATCCCCAATGCTGTGATCGTGATTGAGCCATATGACAATAACATATTGGAATGCAGAAATGTAAAAAGAAATTGTCACTCAGGGGACTGATACAAGGCTGGCAGAGGCTGCCGTTGACAAACAGCATGGGCTTTTAACCTGTGTTACCTGAGCCTGCGTTTAATCCAGGGGCTGATGGTTCAAAGTCCTGGATATCAATTGTATGATCTGGACCTTTGTGCGAGCGAGCTCTAACTGCTTCCTTTTGTTTTTTAATCACAATCTGATGGCCACTTGTAAAATAAAGGATAAAAGCCTGCACAAATGCCACCCATTATAGGTACATTATTTGTCAGTCTGCCTGGAGAAACTGAGGGGTTCGGAGGCAGTGGAAAGGAATCCCAATTCCTGAACCGGCAGATGGGAGATGCGCGTCAGATCGTGCTGTCCCAGCCTTTACTTGAGAGCACTTCATTTTCCACCACCCTGCTAGTTTGTCTGATCAGGACGTAAGTGAAAAGGAGAAATAACTAGTTTTTTCTGGAAAAGCAATAGCAATACAACTCTGATAAATACTGGAAATATATCAGGTAAATTGTCAATGTTTCAAACCTTTTTTAGATTGTCTTTGTTTGGAAATTACCTCATTTTTTTCTGTATGTGTAGTTTTTTTTGAAGGGGGGGGGTGGGGTTTGCATTTTTTCATACGAGATTCTAAAAACGTAGCTTTATATTGTAAATATCTGAAAATTGTGACTTTGGAAATGTTTTTTTCTAAAATGCTCC